AAGATGAATGAGGGGCTAGAGGATGCTTCGTATGAAGTAGAACAGAACTCAGAATTGGGTTTCTCTACATCCACAGATCCAATCTGCTTGTTGGAGCTATTGCCGCATAGCTGCTTCAAAAGTCTCCATGGGTCCCGGCAGTTGTGGTTGCATAAAACGGCTTCGATGTATAAATTATTCTGTCGTGAAATCTCGGTTTTTATTGCCAGCGAGAGTTGGTTTACACAAGCAGTCATTTTACATTTGTAGGCTCGTTCCTTTTTCCTTCACAGTTGTTTGAGTAATGATGAGGAGAATCTATCGACTCGTAAGTAGGTGGTTCCGACTAGACAACAAAGATAGAAGCAACAAGATAGTCAATGAACTGATCACACTAAATAGATAAATTTTCGTTGTTGGAAATTGTACAATCAGTTGAAGTCAGCATTTCCTGCAGTCTCGCAATATTGGATGCTGAACAATCTCGTCGCCTCACAGTTCTGAATGGCTTATTGGCCAATGAACCGAAGTGATTTCTACCATTAACAGTGGGGCACACTTTTATGGTACAATGATCTGAGTTACCGAGTGGGGCACGTTTTTGTGTGGAAAAAAGCCAGGCATGATTTGTGGAGACGAAATCTAATTGTGCTTCAAATTTGGTCCGAAAGGCAAAAATGTTAATCAAATCAAGTGCCTGGATGCATGAGGTATCAATTTTAGTAAAATCCCCGTCAATGACACAGATTGGGCGGTTCAGTTTAGGTAGTAAGGCCGAGGATAGATCATCCGCAAAAATTTTCCACTCTGTTGCTTGTGTGTCGGGGGATATGTATACAATCCCAATAAAAACAGAAATAAAACCACTCAAGAACTTTGGCTTACCTTCAAGCAAATGGCAGCTGATTGCAACTGTTGAATAGGCAAAAAAGTATAGCTGACGAACTACACCAGTGTTGATGGACGTAGGTGATGACAACACCTCTACGATTTTGAGGCATTCTTGGGCGGTCAAATCTGATAGGAAGATAACCAGCAAGTTAAAGAACATGGTCTTCTACATCAGCAAATAACCAGCTTTCTTGTGGCATCAAAATGGCTGCATTTGGATATTCAGTTTGCTGTATACATGTGGTAGGATCCGCCATTATTCCAAGGAGTGTCCGAATATTGCTGGACAAGATCATTGGAATTTGTGTCTTGTCAACTGAGCGACGACTTACCTGCCATCCAGCACGATGTTTTCTCCATTTACAAGAATACTTCCGCATAACTCTTTTAAAAGGATTTCGGACTTTTGAGCATATTGTTTAATACGCGGATATGTAGAAGTATCTCGGAGAGATTTTAATATTTGAAGGCATAGAACAACATCGAGGTCAAAAACTAGTGCAGCTAAAACAATTGGCAAAAGTATTTTGTGAATTCGATGAATCCTCAGTAACTAGAGTAAAAAGGATTTCTCAATAAGAGAAGCAAAGGTCAATTTGAAGGCCCTTCGGTTGGAAAGACGACCAGTCGACTGTCTGATGGAGGCCGGGAACATTGCCCGGCGTGGATCTATACCGATATGAGGAAGACTCGCGAGCGCGGTGCTGTGGGACTAGACCGACACGAATCACCAAATCAACGTGCGACAGGCCATCCAGCCATTCTACCGGACACCTGGACATCACACACGAGCACTCTGATGTCGCCTTTTAGCGCCAACGGAGGCGATCGCCATTCAGCTCCAATATCTCAACGTATGCGTCCAAAAGAAACTTGTCCAGACTCTTCAATTTCCATGACCCCAAGCCGTGCCGTGTAATTGCGATGCCTTTAACTCTTGTATTAATGTTGCTCCAGCCATTGCTATCACTTAATCTCATTGACCGGAAATTTTGCTTCCTTGCTTAATCGCATTTAAACGCCCTGTGTTAATTATACTCCTATTCCTTGTGGTGTAAAAGCCTGATGAGAACCTCCGAAAACAAGCTTGTTTGCCTTGCTGTCCTCTGCTTCTGATGACTTCGTGATTATTTTCTCATTTTCGAAAAGTAACATAGGTATCCATCGCTTTCCGATGAGCTGTTGAAGTACTGCACCAAAGGCAGTGTCTGGTGCGTCAGTTATCGGAGCAAGTGTTGCCGTTAGGTATAGGTGGGCCAGAAGCGCTATGTTGGAGATAGAGGCTTTGAACTTCTCGAATAACGGTTGGGCATCGTCTGGAAAGTGAACAGAGCATTGCTTTCCGCGAAGCAAGTCAGTCATTGGTTGCATTATTCTCATGTATTTAGGAATAAAACCTCAATGGTAGTTAGGCAGGTCACAGAATCGGTGAAGCTGTTTAAAGGAACTAAGAGCAGGGTAGTCCTTCAGTGCCTGAATTCTGTCTGGTAGAGCTTGAATACCAACTGCGGATATCTTGTGGCCAGGGAAATCAGTGGCACTTTGGTAAAGTTTGCATTTATCGGATTCACGGCAACGCCATTTTGAGTCAATCTTTGAAACCTGCGTCAAGGTGACGAAGATGTTCACTTTCAGAAGAACTGGTGATAATATTGTCAAAATGATAGTTCCACAAAAGCGTACATATCCCGCCCTTCTGTAAATCTATCCATTCATTTATTTCTCTATTTAGATATGGACAAATACCAAGTCCCCGAGTTACTTAACGAAAGAAATGCTGAGAACTTTAAGCAGCGTTGCTAAGGACGAAAGGCATTCTGACGTACTGAACGATGTAATAACTGCCATATTAGGTTGTCTTCTGGTACCACAGGTATTCGATAGTAAGCGCACACTGTGTAAATCTTGCTAACGATTGAGTTACCAGCTAGGGCTGAGGTTAAGTTGTGCATATGAGGGGTGGGGCATTTATTGGGGATATTGACTTTGTTGAGTGCTCTGTACTCGCCCCACGTTTGCCAATCTCTGGATTTCTTTGGTACCATGTGTAATGCGGATTACCATGGATTCTTGGACTGATGGATTATTCCAAGTTCGAGCAACTGCTTGAATTTCGCCTTAGCCGCTTTGCATTTGTCCTGGGCTAGTCTGCAATGGTGAGCCGAAACAGGTAAACCCTTAGTGCAAATGTTGTACATGGTATTTGACGTCACGGGAAGTAGGTTGTTCTGATTGCGAACGGGCTTAGGATGGTGATTTAATAGGTCTATAAAAGGCTGTGGGACTTGAAAAAGCATATGAATGTGTATGCTAGCGATCACGTTGGCGCTGGTCCCGATAACGCTGAGCTGTGTTCAAGAGTCGACTAGCTTCTCCTTTTTAGCGTCGACAATAAGGTCAAATTTAAGAGAAAGTGGATGCCTCTGAAAGTGAAAGGCACGACTACTACCATGAAAGCCCATCAAAAATTTGCCGGAGGCCTGGATTTAGCGTTAGCAGATTCTCGCCGTGGTGTGTTATTGGTAGCACATGGTGTAGTCGAAGAGCGTGAGATTACCTCGCCTGAGCTATGGAATATGGCGCTCGTTTCTACCTCGGTGTCTACTAGGAACTAGAGCCGAGTTTGGTTTTCTCTGTGCGCGTGCGTCTCTATTAGAGGCCAGCTGAGACAAGTTCCTGCTTCTCGGCGATGCAAGCCCTAACGCATTTACGAGCTGCGTTTCTGAATTACTGATGATACCAATATCAAGATGGTCGATTTATAGACTTAGCTCGTCTTGGGATTGCTTTTAATCGGCTGGGATGGCTATGGATCAGAGTGGGCTGTGGAACTTGGGGACTAATTGTTGCAAACTGTGCTTGTAGGACCTCCATCGTTGACTGTAATTCGCTGATAAAAGTGGCCTGAGACGCAACAGCGTTAAACCTGCTGGCGTCGGCTTGCGACCGTGATCGTTTGATGACGCGGTCCGCCAAATCATCCAGTTTGGTGGAACATACGGAGCTCACGATGGCGATAATTGCTTGTGTGTTTTCCGGTAGCCGCTGTTGCCATAATTCACGAAGCAGATTCCTTCACGCAACCGAAGCCGAGCAGCTATTGCATCTCCCATGAAAGAATTGGGGACAGTTTTTCGCCCAACTGTACATCCCTGAAATTTTCTTGTAGACTGACTTAATCATGGCTACCTTCAGGGACTCACAGCGGTTTTCTGTCTGAGAAATGACAGCGTCTCTAACCTGCATAAATGTCTCCTTGGAAATATAGTACATGAGCTTGCTATGCTTTGTCTATTGGAACTAATTCTCTGGTTATAACATTCTGTCTCTAGCAATCCACAAAAGAGGACCCCATGTCCCAAAAAAGAGGAACGGAGAGACACAACAATAACAACGGCAAACATGCACATAGTCTGCAGAATCCATGGTGGAAGATAACACAAAAATTATTACTGATGAGCATTATATATATATATATGTATATATAAGTACTATAGGCAAAAATGTACCAGAGAATGTGAAGAAATAAATAGAAGCTCACCGGCGACAACTAGCAAGATATCCGACGTGCGTTAAGGTTCTTCCGAAGTCGGGGTCACCAATTTAGTGGGAGCCCGAATAGCGATTCCAGATCGCAGATCGATTTGTGCAAAAATGATTCTCTGTTGACTTAGGTATAAAAAACGGCACCGTTGACGCTGTTAGCTAGGTAGAAGTAAAAGTGCACAGCACACTGTCTACGTGTTGCAACCAAAATGATCAGCAAGCAGAGACAGTGCTCAACTCAAGCAATCGAACTCAACAACCAGTTCATTAATCCGTCTTAGTGTACAATGAAAAAATGATTTCAGCTAGCATTTAATCCATACAAACTAGGGTACCTTCAGACTGCTACAGTTCCCTTCTTGGAAGGAATTTGTTTCACTTGGACCATCCACATAGCTAATATAGACCGTCAAATGGGATTTAGCAACTTTTCACCGCGTGTTTCTATATAAAAGATAAAATGTTCACCTCCGGAAGATTTGCTAACGGAATCGTGATATTTTGACGAATCCTGTGCATCCCTAAACGTATCCTGCGGACCACACTGAGAAATACGGCACCAACACCGTGCGACAGGCTATTTTGCCTCGGATTGATTTTTCACTTTCATTTTGCATGATCCCATTTTTTATGTGCATTCAGTCGCGATGTTCACATCACATCTTGTTTGCTATGGACAAAAAATATGAAAACAACTTCGAAAATAAAGACGGGATGAAAGAAACACATCAGGCAGACGCGATGTTAACTGTATTAAGGATTGTTCTGGTCGAAGAAGCAACTCTCCATAAACTCCATATTGTTCAACGTGGATGTCACTCACATGCAGGCATGCTAAGAGTTATCATCGGTTTCGTTTTTTGTTTTTTGGCCTTTTCAATCACTGGTATAACATGACATATGTTACTAGATGTGTGTCTTTGAGATGTTTCCTGCTGAGTACCGAAGATAAGTTTGCAATCAGTGGGAATCCGGCTACCTAGGCTCCGTCCACAAAACCGTTCGGTGTATATAATCTGTTTGAAAATGTTTGGGAATTGCGCTTGAAGTTGCACTAGCGCTCTCTGCACGTTGTCCCTTTTAGACGAACTGATCGTAAGCTTCATGCATGGGAGACCTCGTACACAGTAGATCGTCTTTTCATCCAGATGGATTCGACATTCGTTCTGCTTCTCGATCGCGTATATCCTGCGATCAGTGACTGCGGACAGTCGCTGCAGCAGTTGAGACAACATCGGTTCATGAATGTCGCGCAGCAGCTGCTGCCAATACCTCACTTTACACGGCGCATTTTCTGGGTTCTGTCCCATACTCATTGTCTCTGCCTTCATCGACCTCCGAACAGATGAGCTACTTTTTCTGTTAGCCCCGTCTCCTTCGAGGTTGTGGACGATATGCCTGTGCAGTGATTTGTTAATATCTATACGCCTTCTTTCTCTTTTGGTTGACGCGAGACGGTTTCGCAACCTATGTAACAAATGTATTACCTTATAGTCTTTCTTCATGTCAAATCTATGACAGGGTTTTGTTGGCTTATCTTTGACGGTGGCGGTAACATTAGGGGCAAAATCGTCATCCTGTAGGGGAACCTCTCCGTAGTCTGTCACTTCAGACTCCAAAGTACGTAGCAATTTGTTAATATCCTTTAGGTAGCTACGTAAAAGGTTGCAGGCTCGGAATGGCAGCACCATTTCGTCGATCTCCGATGGTATTACCGACACGTAGGCAATAAAATCCATCAACGTGGGGGATCTAAAACCGCCTTGTATGGGATTCACCTGTGCTCTACGCTCTTGTTTAGTTGGTTTATGATCCCGTCCTCTTCGTTGTCTTGGTTTGCATGAGTTAGACAGTGATTGACTCCTTCGCCTACCATTGCTAAATTCAGATGATGTTTTTCGTGGAGCAACTGCGGACCATAACGGTGGTGATTTTTTACGTCTTTTCTCCGTCACTGCGTTGCCACGAATCTTGTCACTTGAATGCTGGCATCTCATAGAGGGAACCCTTGCCCTTTCGCCTGCTTGAAGAAACTTTCCGGTATCATGAAAGTCATTCGTTTTTGCATTTTTCGACTCCGTTTTGGACGACCGTAATGACTGAGGTGTGTGTTGTTCAACCTTTCTCCGCATGCCCATTCCCTCATTTGTTGAGCAACGTGTCTCTGTCAAATTGCGGTCCAGACTCTGCTTCCTACTATACATGCATGCACTTCCGTTTGGCCATTCACGTTTTCTCTCTTGTTCGTTAGAATTTAACCGTCGTCGGCACATCCACGTCTCTATTAGGTTGTGTTTGCCACGAATTCTATATCTTCTGGTCTCAGGAGTGCATTTGGCCCAACGGGTCTTATATCTTTGGATTGCTAATTTCCTCGGCACTTCCTGGTCCACATCTGGGACTCTGCCGTCTGGCCACAGAGCGGACTCTATTGGTCGTATATCGTAATAGCGCAAGGCCGGGTTGCGCGGACTAAAATTCCACGGTATTCTTGTACCTCTGGTCATCTGAATTGGCGCTTTCTTATACCCTGTAAGTGGTGATCGCCTCACATATACCCCTACGCATTGCGAAGCTCGTCTGGGATGCCTTTGATTTCGTCGCAAGCCACTCCGTATTCGGCGCCCCATCAAGTGCTTTCTTTTGCTGGTACGGTATTTGCGCTTGTAACGTTTATTTGAGCAACTTCTACTGGTTTTTGACACAATTTGGTCAGGTACTCTTGGTCCTTCCTCCGACTTTTTAGCTGTCATTCCTTCGAGTGTATTATGTCCATCACTTTTTTGATCACGGCGCTTCCACTCCTTTCCAGCAGTGGTTGTTTCATGCTGTTCAAACCTATCTGTTCCTTCTGATTCTCTCTTGCGGAAAATCTGAGACGAACTGACTTCTTTCCCTTTGTTTCCAGCGGTTTTTCCTCGGCCTGGGGCGACCCCCGGTCTCGGACGATGCTTTAATGCAAGCTGTTCGTCTGAACTCGAATGAAGGAATTCAGACGCTACCGATGGGATAAACGTGTCCGACGTCTCCTCAGCCGATCGGACTCTGTCTTTGCGAGGGACTGACTGCGTGCTGCCTGACAGTGTATACGACTTTAACTCATCTAATTGCATCAGTGGTTGTACTTTGCATTCCTCGCGGCCGGATGCTACATCGTTGTGTGCTTGACTGGAATAGCATAAAGGTTTGCGGATCCTACTGCACAGCTGAGAGGGCAGCTCCTTTTTGAACACCTTCACCTTCAATTTTCTATTTTTGGCTCTCTCATCACTCGCTACAGCTGTTGGATGCGGGCATAGATCGATGAACAGGTCACCGTTGTGGTTGTTGGCTTGAAAAGGTGCGTATTTACTTGAATTTTCCAATTCTCTTAGCATCAGTCGTCTCAGTGAAACTGCAGTGTAAGTAGAAATTGACATCGGGATCCTATTGGTTTCTGCCTTATTTCCTTGAGTACCCTGACTCTCGTTTACCCCAGATAACATGTTTTGTGACCGGTTACCTGATGGATGTACTTCAGATGTCGATATGACCTTGCGTATTCCTTTCACACTGCAACCTTTGGTTTTAAGATCTGCAGCTGATGTTCGCCTAGCCTTATGATTCAGCGAACCTTTTCCAGTCTTTCTTAGATCGGTGACCACTCCAGCAGGAGGGTTTAATCCCTGTGATTGTGAATATCTGTGCGTGTTTCTCGTTGTCCTTCGAAGTACTTGTGTCATGTGCGGAGCAGATAAATTTGGATTATTTCCTGCCAATCGCTTGTCCTCAGCACCTGTGCTCTTACCGCGCGAGTACTGATGGCCCAATCTTCGGTTTCGGGAAATATTTTGTGCAGTAGCTGAGTGGGTCGCCTTTGTTTGCAGTCTTTGTGACTTGGTAGATCGATGCGTGGCATTGACTAGGGGTACCTGATTTCCACCTGAATCCACTAGGCGTGGCTTCTTCAAACAGCTTTCGACACTACTGCTCACTGTCGGGCTTACAAGTTTGTGCGCCCCTTTCAATATACCGCTTTTACTAGGACTAGTAGAATGGACGAGTTTTTTGAGCCCGCCATATTGATTCATAGGTGTTGCCTTGTATACACACGTACCTTTATCGGTCATTGGATGCATCCCCATTTGTTGGTTCCCTCCGGACTTACTACTTGTTACACTCCATCCGCATTCCCCACTAGGCATCAAAACTGGGATGTATGTGTTCCCTCTGATGTTATCCCGATTACCGTCTGAGTAGCCGACACGAAAGTTCTTCGCTTGAATTTGTCCTGGGACAACAGATTTACCCATGCTGCTTACCACATTAGAGATTTGTCCTTCAGCTAACCGTTGATTACTCCTCACCTTTTTGTGCCGCGTTTCATTGAGTTTACCGCCGAAGTGATTACTCGAAACAGGCTTCTTTCCACGAAATTTGTAGGTGGACCTGAGGTTGTCACCTTCTTTAAAAGCATATACTCCTGATGAATAGCTGTCCGGCACAACGCTTCCGTCTGCGGTAAAGCTACTGATCGTATACCCGTCCACTGATTGTCTGCTGATCATTCCTTTGCGTTGAAACTGACTTTGGCCTTCTCTTAACCTGTTTGTTAGCACCTTTGCTTGCGGTTTCATCCTTACGCTTCCATCTGCAGGATCATTTTCGGCAACGCATCCTTCAGATGGCACTGAACTTGCCGATAGTTCAGTGGATGTGGTCGGTGATTCTCGGTGTGGGTTTGTTTTTTCTTTTAAGTCAGCTGTATGCACGACTTCACGTACTAGCTCCACATGCCTCTTTTGCGAACTTGGTTTCAGGGTAAGATTTGGCGCGACTTTCTTGTCAACCAACAATCTTGACTCGCACTCCGTCCGATGTAGAATATTGTCCACTTCCGCCTGCGTGAAAAACCACTCAGCGGATTCCGCCACACTTTTCCTAAAACGGGCCTGTTCCCACTCTTCAACCCAACATTCTACCTTCTGACAGGTAACCAGATCTTCTAAGTATTTTCCCAAACTGCACGATTGACTAATGTTACTTTGATCAACACTGATATCTGATTGACTTCTTTTCACTGAAAGTTTTCTATTGATACTCGACTGTTGGTATGTTCTACCTGGTCCACTGTCAGCGTGGGGCTGGTTCTCTTGCGAACAATTCAGGCCCCTCTCGGAATTGGTTTGTTGTAACGCCGCGTTTAAACTTGCTTTTTTTGTTATAGTGTTAATCCGTTCCTTGGGTGTTCGAGTTTTCGACTGACTGAATAACTTCCTGAAGAAAGTAAAAACCATCGAAGGATAAAGGAATCCATTCGAAACTCCGTACTACGAGACCGACTGTCAAACATGGAAGTTGCATCACATGGCCACGCTGGGATGTCACACTAATCACCTGTTGTTTGAAGCGAAGAATCGATACTGCCTTCCCTCGAAACATTTGATTCCCGTGATCTACCTGTACTCGGTTGGCGACATGCGATCGGACAGCAGATGTATTTTTGTCTGTGTATGTTTCATTCATCTTCTGGTATCTGCAATTCCTTACCTCGTTGCTTTCCTTATCTTCGATCGATAAAATCAGCTGAAACATTCCAAGAGAAGCATGTACTAATGTTCGCATTACCTGCATCTAGTGCAAAGTGGATGCTAGTTTTATCCGCTTCATATCCGTCATGGAGTAATTTGTGCCATTTTCTGCCGTCCGTTTCTGGAACGCTTATGAAATGACAGATAGCAGATGAGGATGTCCAAGGAAAATGCATGCGGTATGCAGTATGATGAACTCGAAATTCAGCTATCGCTGGAAGCAGACGGCATCTTAGCTACTGTGCCGCAATACAATGCAACTATATTCAAAAAAGAAAATGCAAAATAAAGAAACGTAAGAAAACAAAACAAGTAATGCCATGAATTAACCCTTATTCTTCCACAGTGAGATCGAGGTTGAAGAAGCAGGCTCAGTGGGATAAGTATGGACAACAGAACGATATATATGTATATATATATATATATATATATATATATATATATATATATATATGGTTGGCGGCATCCGGTTTCGGATTTGCCTGTCACTGTGGCCTGCCACAGGACGCCTGCGCCTACAGAGGGACCATGGATGGCTTGCGCTGCACCACCCACAGCTCCAACCACATACCCCATATCCAGTGTAAACCCGAAGGAATAAGACCGGGAGGCATGTGGATGGGAGCCACGTTTCATCAACGGAGCCGGCCCACACTCCTTCACAGGCAAACACAAGCACACTGTATTTGGGATTCAAGCGCACACAAGGCGGTGGCTGGACCGTAGTCCGCTCCATACTGAGTGCATGGAACCACTCTTCGAGCCTAACACGGCCACAAGGACCGTGCAGCCCCGTCCCCTCCAGCAACGACCAACTGTCTCCTGGAGCCAGTATGGACGAGGTAGTGGGTAATAGACAGGTAGGCACCTTGTCAACATGCACATCAAGCGCAGCCACACCGGGGATATCAAGCGACAGTCAATCAATTAAGAGGAAGAGAACCAAAATAATAAATCGAGTAATGCATAAAGGAACAGTAACATTAATCTTAAATTAGTGAGCATATGAAATAAGTTGTTTTAAAGCGAATCCGAGATAGGTTCACGAAGTCAGAAAGTATATTTTACGGAAATGCCACAAGCACGAAAATGTTATCGAAAATAACTACAATGGGCTTAAGCGAGGTGTGCAAGTTTATAGACATTTATATAAGAAAGAAAAGCATTAGGACAAAATTGAAATTTCACCATCTGAAATAAATGGACTTATCATGCAAGCACGCGGTTAGTAAATCGAAAGCAGCGTGCCTACAAACGCTGCGCCGGTTCTGCCTACGTGATCTGCAGGACGCGTCGTCGCTGCGGCACTAGTCCCGAGTGACCTCGCTCATGGCTCACTAGGCCTGCCTGATTCAGGCACTCGCGACCGCATGTGCTACAGCACCACGTGCTCGTTGTCCATGGAGTACAACCCATTGGCGCTTGCCGCTTAGGCACTTGCCGCTTCTTCTCTGCATGTATGAGGTCTTTCTCCCGCACTTCGGCAACTGCCTTCGTAATGAGAGCGCGCCATGCACGCCGATCAACCGCCTTCGATTCCCATGACTTGCCATCAAGATTAGAACGTGCGAGCCTCACTTTAATCATGTCATGGTAACGTGACTTTGGTTTCCACACATGCCGCTTCCCAATACTCAGCTGACCATATAAGAGTTGTTTTGGTATCCGCGTTGGATCCATACGGCTCACATGACCGACCCACCTCAGATGTCTCAGCAAAAGTATGCAGTCCACTGTATACATTCCACTACGGCGCAACACTTCGGTGTCCACAACTCTGTCACCCCAACCGATGTGCAAAATCCGTCGCGAACACTGCTGATGGAACCGCTCGAGATATCGCACATCCTGCCGATACATCGTTCACGTTTCAGTGCCGTATAGAAGAAAGGACAGCACCATGGATTTGTACACCATCAGCTTCGTGCCAACGCTAAGCTGATGGTTGTTCCACACTCGGTACTCAAGCTTCCCGAATGCCGCTGCTGCCTTCGACACGCGAATACGCAGCCCACTGTGTAGCCGCTGATCAGTCGACATCACACTACCAAGGTAACAGAAGCGGGAAGTAGTTTCCAATACTTTAGCACCGATGCTGATTCGCGGCAATATTGAAGATTGCACCTCCAGTGAAGGCTGAAAGAGGCAGACAGTTTTGCTTGTGTTGATGGTGAGCCCGAATTGTACCGATGTCGAAGCCAGAGCACTAGTCATGTGCTGCAACTCATCCGCGCTGTGTGAAAACAACGCGCAGTCGTCAGCAAACAGCAACATACGGATAGCTGTCTCACAGACTAGAGTTCTCGCACCGAAACGACGGATGTTCAGCAACCCACCATCAATACGGTGCTCCACACGAACACCGTAAGCACAAGCGGCATCAAAGGCACTGGGCAACGTTGCATGAAGATATATATTAAACAGGGCAGGAGCTAAGACACAGCCTTGCTTCACACCAGTGACAACTGCAAAGTCATCCGAGGTCTCTCCACTCAGCTGCACCCTAGCTCGCATACCACTGTGCAGACATTCAATTAAACTTACAAACGTACGCGGGCAACCAAACTTAGCCAACACCAGCCACAATGTCTCGAGATTTACCGTATCAAATGCTTTGGTAAAATCAACAAAAAGCGAGTACAATGGCTGGTGTCGTTCTCTGCACTTCTCTTGCAACTGACGAGCCATAACGACCATGAGTATAGTGCTGCGACCCGAACGAAATCCACACTGCTCTTCTGTCACCTTCGGTTCCACAACCTGACTGACGAGGCGTTTGAGCAGGATTCGGGCAATCACCTTGCCTACACAACTCAGCAAGTTGATGCCACGATAATTCGTGCAACATTGCTTGCTCCCTTTGCCCTTGTACAGTGGTAGCACAAGGGCATCCTTCAGCTCAGCAGGCACCTCCTCAATCCACCCGCGTTGCACCAAGTGGTGCAGCGCATCACCAACGCTGGTCCGCCGTGTTTCAATACTTCAGGCAGGATCCCGTCGGCCCCAGTACACTTGCCGTTTCGCAGCTGAACAAGTATGCTCTGTGTCTCATCCAGTGTTGCCGTGTCCGCCAGACTCGCCTTCACATCGTGCTGCTTGAGGCGGTTCAATGTAGGTCAGTCGATCTCTGATCGGTTACTCAAGAGACAGTCAGTGTTTTGCCAGATCTGCATTATGTCTGCAGTCTGCGTGCAGCTAGCGCCTGAACTACCATCGATCAGCGTCCTCAGTTGCTCCAATCTCGGTCCATGCACCGCCTTCTAGGAGTCAAAGAATTCCTTTTGTTGGCAGCGTTCGGCGTAGCATTCCATCTGCTTCGCCTTCTCTGTCCACCATGAATTTTTTATGCGCCGGAACTCTCGGGTCAATCGTCGTCGATTTCTGCCAAACATACTCTTCTTCCTCAAGTCACTAGGGTCTGCGACATGTGCAGCAAATGCTGGATTCTTCTCTGACACCAATGCGCCAATCGTCGCATTGTTCTCATCAAACCAATCAGGTCGCTTACAGTTTGCGCACCCGATGGTCTCCTCAGCAGCAGCTGTCACCTGGTCGCGAATGTGGTGCCACAGATCGCCCACTATGGCTATGCAGTCCACTTCACACAGGCGTGCAGTCATCGCCTTCTCCAACTCGGTACGTATCGCCACAGTACCGAGGGAGAGAATAATAAATATACGCCGATGCACGACGGCAGTGCAATACATAGATTTACTAAAATATATGTACAGTTTGGTTCGCACCAACTTGTGATCAGTGCCACACTCAGCTCCCCGCGGTACACGTGTCATGCGCACTTCACGCATATCACGCTGACGTACGATGACATAGTCGAGCAGGTGAGCGTGACCACCCCGTGGGTGCGTTCAAATTGATATATCACTCGCACTCAATGCAAACCGAGTGTCCGTGCTCGTCAGGCCGTGAGTGGCACACAGTGAGAGCAGCCTGTCACCGTTCGCATTCGCTGAACCAATGCCATGCGAACCGATAACATCTGTCCACACCGATGCATCACGCCCAACGCGCCTTGAAATCACCCAGCAGAAATAGTCGGTCGTCCCTCGGCACAGACCGTATCACGGAGGATAGCTCAGTGTAGAATTGATCACGCGTGTCATCAGGATAACACATGGTCGGACCCTACGTGCTTATAAAGGTGGCAAACTTCCGAGTCGTAGGTGAAAAGTCATCAGTCGCGCGCTGATGCCTGTTGGTTCACCCACCAGCTGGCCATGGAAGCGATGGGATATTGCAAATCCAACCCTATGGTCACGTGGTGCTGAGGCGGCGTTGCCCACGCAGTAGAATGTGTAGTCAGCACCTGCTTCATGCAACTTACCTTGCTCAGCGAGCCGGGTTTCACTGAGCGCCGCAATATCGATGTGGTAGCGCGCCAGCTCCATCGCGACGAGTACAGTGCGTCGCTCTGGGCGCTCGCTGGAGTTCCGGTCCAGTAGTGTGCCCACGTTCCAGTACCCGATGCTGAGTGCTTTGCGCGCAGGCATACGATTGCATTAGTGGGCAATCGAACGCGAGGTGGTCGTTGTGCTTCGGAGGTCTGTTTGAGGGACTCCACCCGGAGCCTTTGGCTCAATAGCCTGACCCACAAGGCAGTGGGGAGCAGATCCATCTCGGGAATGTGATTGCAGAGACAGATTGGGATCTGCTTGACGGCCGTCACACGCAGCTTATGAGGTACTGGA